TGCCTCTTAAAGACATAAACTACATAGCCTGTAACTAATTATATACTGTCTTCAAACCTCAGTTTGCTCATCTGCCAAATGGGGATAATAAATTAGCTGCACTTCATCAAAGGTTTAATCAGATTTTATATATATGCCAATTTAAACTTGACAAATGAAAGTCCTACATGATTATAATTACTACTAAATTTACTCCCTCAGAACATTAGAAGCTAGTTACCAGTTATTGCATAATATATAATAAAGACACATTAAGAAATTAGTTCAGTTGTAGAGCATATAATGGCCCATAAATCATTTGTTTATATAAATGAATGTAGCTAGAGATAACAAGATAATTATTTAATGGAACAAGTTAAAAAAAATAGGCTAATTATCCAGTGGTAGAAGGCAACACATATTAACAGAGCTAAATACCTCCCCCCCCCTTTTTTTTTCTAGGAAAAATGAAAAGGGGAAATAAAGAGTAACAGTAGTAAATTTAATAAATGCTTGTGACATTGTAAACATTTTACTAAGTAATATATTTCATTTCATTTCATTCTCACAACTACCCTATGAGGTGGAGACTCTTATCTGATTTTAGAGAAGAGACCAGTGCTTAGAGAAGTTAAGCTACTAGCCCAAGATCACCTATCATATTATTCAAACCCAGGAATATTGCCTCTACTGTATTTTGCCACTAAGAAATCAAAGAGGTGGAATAAAAGCCAAAATATGTAAGTTATTTCCTCCATTGTTATAACCTGTTTTTTTGTTTACTTTTAAGAAAATTGTTGTGGTTTTATTGTATCATGAGGCATGAAAACATCTGAACAAATCAGTATCTGGACGGTGAGGCAGCTGCTTTCTCCTTCACTTCTTTGGGTTACTAGAGCAACTTGTTAGTTGATTTAAAAAAAAAAAAAGACAACCTTTTGCATTACTTAAGTCTTTCCAAGGCATGCGCTGGTACAACACAAACTTCTGTCAGATGTAACTAGTCTAGCGTCCAAACATCATGCACAGTACCTAAGCAGCAGCAGCGCACTGGGCCCACTCCCACCTCGGTCCTGCTCATTTGTGTATGCTGTTTGGAGCATCGGGAGGAGTGTGTATCTGGAAGAGGAGGGAGGAGGAAACAGCATGAGTGCCTGGCTGGGAGGAGGTCAGCCGAAGTTGTGCAGAGCAAGCCTGAACATGTCACTGGTGCAAACACAAGCATCTTGATGTTCTTCAATAGGAACAGCTGGTGGAACCCCATGATGGGGTCTTCATCGGCCTTGAGCTGGCCCACAACCGTGCTGAGGATGCAGCTGTCTGGCGCGGGCTGGTGGGCCTGTGCCGTGGTGCTGGGCTGGATTTCTGGAACGGAAGGCTAGACCACTTCTCCACAATGGCAGCTTTCCCTGGAACTGCTGTCCTTCCCACGTACGCCATGATGCGTCCATGTAAACTGCGCCTCGTTGGGTTCTGTCGTTATCAAATAACTGGTAGTCATGTTGCATGAAGCTGGATCCAGTCTGCTCCCAAATTGGCTTGTCTCCCATTCTAGAGCGTCACCCAGCCTCGCTGAAACCCGAGGGGCTGGCCCGAAGGCGGCAGCGATGGCGGCAACCCCTGTTTTGTTTTGTTTTTTCATGGTTTGATTGGAATTGAGTCCATAGAACTGAGTTTTTGAGAACTTTAGCTTTAGCATTCCCAAAAGTAACAACTTAACAAGAATATTTAGATTTGAGAAGCCTTTTTAAAAAAAAATCACACATGTATCTGTTAACTGTTTTGGATGTGAAATAACAATTTGAGAGTATTTCCTCAAAACACATGTTGTTTTCTTTTAAGGTATCTATTAAAATTAATTTTAATGTTTATCTATGTAATACATGCAAATGATATAAAAATTGAATACTATTAAAAGGCTCCCCATCCCATTCCCATGTCTCTCCACCCCCCAAACCAAATCCTGCAGCTCAAAGTAACCACTTTTCAGTAATTAAGTACATATTTTCAAATTATAAATACATATTTTTAATGTTACCTATTGATTTCCTATTATGGATGATATGAATAATGATTGAGCTATCTTATACCATCCCATCTCTTTCATATACCATCTCATCTTATCCTATCTCATCTCTTTAAAAAAAATACACATATACCTTCCTCATTTACCAATATAGTATATCAAAATTTTTACTTAGAGCAATAACTAGTAAATATTTTTTACTATTAAGACAACAGTTATATTCTTTTTAAAAAATTATTATTTTATTGATTTCAGAGAGGAAGAGGGAGAGTCAGAAACATCACTGATGAGAGAGAATCATTGATCGGCTGCCTCCTGCATGCCCCCAATGGGGATCGAGCCCGCAAGACAGGCATATGCCCTGACCAGGAATCAAAATGTGATCTCCAGGGTCATAGGTCAACACGCAATCACGGAGCCACGCTGGCTGGGCAACAGTTATATTCTGATTATGTTTCCCCTCTCACTAACCTTTTTGTTTTGCCTAAAGTTGTTAATTTCATTGATTTAACACTGGTTTATATACTTCTGGCTATTTTTTCTCCAAATGCTATAACAGATTTGTCAAAACTCATCAATTTTTATGGGCATCAAATAATCTATTACTTTTGAGTGTTTTGTTTTTTTCTCTTGAAGTCCTCCCTCCAAAGTTTCTTTCAGTCATTATTTCTTGAAATAGGTTCTCAATTCCTTGCTCTCTCTCCTCTCCTTCAGGTACCCCTTATGATTTGGATATTGCTACGCTTGATGTTGTCCCAGAGGTCCCTTAGGCTCTCCTCATTTTAAAAATTATTTTTCATTTTGCTTCTCTGATTGGGTGTTTTCTGCTACCTTCTCTTCCAAATCTCTGATTCAGTCCTCTGCTTCATCTAGCCTAATGTTGATTACTTCTGGTGCATTCTTCATTTCAGATATTCTTCATTTCTGACTAGTTCTTTGTATGGTCTCTGTCCTTTTTTTATGGTTGCTTTCTCTTGGTTGAAGTTCTCACTAATTTCCTTGATCATCCTTATAACAATTGTTTTGAACTCTGTAACTGGTAGCTTGCTTACCTCCATTTCATTTAGTTCTTTTTCTCCTCCCTCCCAGAGCTTCTTGTTTCAATCTGGATTGATTGCTCTCTCTAAACCAAATACCTTCACTTCTTCTCTTTGGTTGCATTGTTTCCTGGACTCCATGAATACTTGTTTCTTAGTTTACTTTCTGGTTCTACTTTGCTCTCTTATATCCTTTCATAATGATTTTGATAAGTTTCTGGCAAGAGGACAGAAAAGTATGCATGTTCAATCTGCTATATTTAACTAGAAGTTTCCAAATCATATTTTCTTCAGAGACTACTTACATTGATGTAGCTTTTGACAATAGAGTTGTCTTTATTAAACACACACACACACACACACACACACACACACACACACACACATACACACACACAACACCATAGTGAGTATACTGCAATTTAAAATAATCACCACCAGCAGTTAATATGTAACTGAATAGATTATGTATGTAATCTGATCATTATGTCTACCCGATATTCAGTTATATAACTTCCCAGTGGCCTTCAGTTAGGTGAAATGAACACAAAGTATTCTATGCTACTTTTCAGAATCTGTGTCAGCATTTTAAATATGGTTGAGTAAAACCAAGCTCTAGTCAACTTCACTCCAATACAATTTTTTCCCTTCAACACATAAAGCTTTTGTTGCAATCAATGGCTGTTTCTTTTGCTCAAGAAATATGGCAGAATCAACCTCATCATTACTAAAAAAGAACTTAATGACGTATGCACTCACAAAATAGTTATAATTTTACATTATATGTTTGATCAAAAAATCAAATAGGGAGTTAGACATTAAATATGACTAGATACAGAGGTCAAAAATTGAACATATCAAGATAAAGCATTCCACATTCCTCTGGAATTAGATGTGTTACAGAATTTAGAAGTTTTCATATTTTAGAAAAGTTAATTTACTGTATATCATGTAATAACAGAAACTGATTCAGCATTCTATACTCCATAATATTGCTACATTAAAATGAACATTAACACAAAATGGAAGCATAAAGACTGTAAACAGCCTCACATTTATTCAAGTCAGGTTTTAGTGCCAATCTTACAAACTTTCCATTTTCAAACTGGATTGCAGGTAAGAGATTGTGAACTATAATTACAGAAAAGAGCAAATTATGATTACCTGTAGATTGTCTGCCTAGAAAACCTCAGAGAATTAACCAGCAAGTTATAGTAGGAAAGTTACTTTTTAAAAAAAGATAAAGCAAAATATAAGAATCACCAATACACGAGGAGGCTTTTAGTTTCTGCAGGTAAAAGTTTGAGAGAAGATTCCCTATAACTATTAGTGAAAAAATGTGAACTTATGCTTTTTCCTCTTAATAATAAAATTAGGTTGAGTCTACTGTACATAAGGGATGGGTATAAAGAAAGAATGATAAATTAGCTATTATTTAAATAAATCTACTAAGTGCTTCTAGGTACATGGTATTACATTAGGAAATAATAATGCCCTTTAAAAGAGTTTAAAAATCTCTGACAGCAATGGTGGCATTTAGTATAGGATATTGAAGTAATTAAATGAGAAAAGATATTCTACACTACAGGGCTCTGAATCTTGTTTACTTTGGTCCCATTCAGGATTCATGTAACCTACCCTACCTGCTCCGCCCCTTACTGAAGACATGCAGGGAAGACCTGGAGAGGAACTGCTAAACTGTGAAATCTGAGCACACTCAAAATAGCGCACCCTTGAGTCATGGTTCTTTAACCACAGCTGCAGGTTAGAATCACTTCTCCAAAGTCTTTTGGGGAACTTTCAAAATCCGAATGCCCAGGCCACATCCCAGACCAATGAAATCAATCTCTGACTGTTAGGCCCAGATAACAGGATTTCTGAGACCTTCTCAAGAGAATGTGAAAAGGATAGCCAGGGTTAAAAACGAATGAGACTCAAGGGAGAAGCCAAAGGATGTAATGACCGTGTGTCAAGATGATGCATTTAACTTCATGGCAGCTGAGCAAGGACTACCAGACAGCACCCTTAGAGATGCCTCAGCACAATGCTTCCTGGGTATTTGGGTAGAACATAATGGAGTAAGGCATTTTTCTGATTTTTTTTCTGCTGTTGAACATTTAACAGTTTAAGATGGGAACAAAGTTGAAAGAAAAAGAATGGGCAGACCTAAGAATTATACGAAGCTCAAGTTCTGATGCAGACACAGCCAGATTTAGATGTAATGACTCCCATCTTGCTAAAATCTACAGTACAGCACTCATAGTTGACTAATCATCCAAATGACAAAAGGACTTCTAACACCCCCCCCCAGTAATTAAAAAGAAAAATCTTTAATTTTTTTTCTGATTTAGCTTTAATATCAGCTACTCTGCTCAACTTCTGTATATTAATGTATTAGTATGTGCAGAAACCTTATATTCTTGATTATTTATGCCATTAAGTTTCCGATGGTAAGTTTAGTTGGGCATGGAATTCTTTGGCAAAATACTCTTAGATATAGAAAATAAACTTGAATTTCCAAATGGAAACTATCATCAGAATTAATCTGTCTCTCCCATAATTTGTGTTTGGAGTATCTTCCTTGAAACTTGGTTTGCTGTTTGTTGGCTCTAAAGGTTGTTCCTACAGGACTGCTCAAACCCACCTGTGGAGTGACCTTAGAATTAGCACTTTTCCATCAGGATTATTGGGATGATTAAAGATTAATTCAAACACGCGCACACTCAAAAGCCAGTGAAAAGAAAGCCCAAATGAACTTTAATCTTGTCTCCACCAACTCCATCCAACTGAAAGCTGCAGAGTTTAGCCAGAACCAGCCCAGTCACCAGCCAATAGGTAAACCATTTGATTCTCTACTAGTATATTCTAGTTCCTGGGACAGATCCAAGCCTTTAATACCAAATTAATAGAATATGCTACTTCCAAACACAAAAGACTCTTCGCTACATGTCTTTTTTTGGAAAGTCAAAAGCATAGTCCTTATTTGGAAAGAAACCTAACTAGAACCTTCCAACTGGATCCTCCTTTCCTCTTCCATTCACTCACTACTTCTGTCTGTGCAAATGCTCACATGAGCATGGTAGAACATAAATTATGGCTAACAGTTTGACACCATTGTTTTATTAACAAATGCAATTCATAGCAAAATAATTAAATAGGGACACACAGTAAAATAAACATTCCAATGACCTTTTAAATCGAAAAGTTCTGCTCTACAAATAAAGGGAAGAACAATGCAATTACACGAGAGTGCTCGTACAGACTTGCTGAATATGTGATGAGGCCTTGACCAGCCAGCCGGTTGTCTCATCTCTTCCATCCCAGAAAAGGCTGAAAAGAATAGGACAGCTGTAGTGTCCCGACTTTGAGACTCACTGGTGAATGGAATGACAGATGTAGAGCCAGAGCCCCAAAGTGGGCAGGACCTCATCCCTGACAGACAAAAGAGGATGACAGACTTGGAGCCCCATTGACTTCAATTAAAAAAAAAAATTGAAGCCAGCTGTCTTTATATATAAGATACTGGTACAAGGCAGTATTTACTGATTAGGTCTCAGAACATCATTTTACCTGATAATCCAAGCAAAACACCTACAATTCGTTTTTCCTTAGAAATGTATTGTATGCTACTGCTCCATTTTTAGCCTTATCAAATGTGTCTAATAATAAGGGCCGCTCTGTGTGTGTCGTAGGTTTACCCATCAAAAATCTGAAAAGTAAAAATTGTAATCCTCAAAATGTTCCACCTCTGTTACATGTATCTTCTTATAATCCACCAAAGACCCCTAGTTGTGTGTTCATGCAACTCCCAATGGATCCAAAGTAATGATTTGTACAACTCACTAAACACATATTCAATTCTCAACCACATGTTGTGTTGGTGACACCCTGCACTTTTGCTCTCCTACTCAGGGACTACAAATATCTTGAAATAGGCATCTATTGCTTATGTTTGTCTGGAGTAGGTACTTGACAAATAGGATAATTCGCAAATCTTATCTCACTGGATCCTCAGAGCTATCTTATGGAGTTGACAGGGCAAGTCATATCCCTATTTTATTAATGAACAAACTGAGGCTCAGCAGCTTACGTGATATGTTATCTAACCTCATACAGAGAATCAGTCAAATTGAAAACAGAAATCAGTTTTCCTGATTTGTAGTTCAGCCATTATATTTACAGCTTCTCCAAATGTATGGAAAGGCATATTATTTATAGAAGTATTTTTATTCTCAATTTCTTTCAGAGATCAGTAAAAACTAATGTCCCAGGGACAGAGACAATAACTGTAAGTAGTTGTCAAAAACTTGCTATTATATCTAAGCCATACATTTCTGAAGGTTAAGTTCTGATGACTATTCATATTACAGTTCTTTAATAGAATGAACTCAACCATCAACACATTTGCTTTGCCTTGACAAATAGCTTTAGAAGATGAAGACTATTGAAATATTGTAGAAAAACATGCTTAAAAATGTGAACTACATAAGAGTAAAATAAAACATAAAATTACATTTAAATAGTCAAAGTAACAGTGATTCTGACCCTAGGAGGTAAATGTATGCATAAAATTTAATGTCCCCACTCATTATTACATAAAGCTGTATGAATATCACACCTAAAACCCTACCCACATTTATTTGAAAGATGGCTTTAAGCTCCAGGAATTTCATGCAGTTAGAAGTTGACTTTCTATAGAAGAGAGAATAAGGCTAATGAGTAAATGTTAAGTATAAGGCACTGCTAACACTACAGAGGTAAATATGTAATTATATATATTTCTAAAAGTGGGATAAATCACACATTAAGTTATGTCATAATTCAAGGACTTATAAGAAGCAATAAGATATACTTGACAGTCTTTGGATAATTACTTTTAATTAACATGCCTATATTATTAAAAATATGAGACTATTTTATTCAATACAGGAAAAATACGAATCTTTAAAGCTGGAGGAGGGCAACCACTGGAAAAAGGAGAGGTTTAGTTCTTCTGCCTACCCATAAAAGCTATGTCTAGACATTCATAATGATACCCATTAATTGGCCATTTTAGCTAAATTATGTAAATTGTCTACATACACTTCTCAAAGTACACAACTGCCAATGCTATTTTCACTTTGGTCAAGTCTACACTGGCTACCAAAATGAAGTGGATAATTAAGACCATTATTCTGATAATTTAGATCAAACATTAATTAAGGTAAAAGCAGATTAATGGGGGAGGGGAACTTGAATTGGAATATAAATGTTTCTTTTGTGTTCCATAAGCATGTCAAAAAGATTTTTCGGGTCCTGGCTGGTTTGGCTCACTGGATAGAGCATCGGCCTGGGGACTGAAGGGTCCCAGGTTCGATTCTGGTCAAGGGCATGCACCTTGGTTGCAGGGGCCCATCCCCAGTAGGGGGTGTGCAGGAGGCAGCTGATCAATGCTTCTCTCTCATTGATGTTTCTGACTCTCTATCCCTCTCCCTTCCTCTCTGTAAAAAATCAATAAAATATATTTTTTTAAAAAGATTTTCGGTTTCTTGTATTGTTTTTGAAATCTGATTTCAAAACACTTAATATATGTTATTTCTATAGCAATTCCTTAATCAGAACCTCAGGTTCTTCAAATTCCCAAGTTGCCTAGGTAATAGAATAGCATTTTAGAATTGTTTATACTAGCATTGACTTAGATCTCATTTTCTAAGTTCACAGACAATACTCATAAGATTTATGGACATTCTGAACTAAAAAAAGAGTCACTGAATTTTTTTAAAAACGAACAATGAGAATATATTCTTTTTATTGGCATTATAGTTGGGTAGAAGAATGCCCTTCAACCAGGAGAAGTGAGCTGAAGCAATTTAGAAGTGCAATGATGTTCATAATTTACTAAATGAGTGGGGAGAGAAGTATATGTATGTGCATGACTAAACAAACAAGCAAACAATTATATCCTATATCTACCCATCTATTTAGATATACTATGTCAATATCTATCTATCTATCTATCTATCTATCTATCTAAAGTTAGAGAACCTAAGCACAAAATGGTAACAATGTTAACATAAATGAAAGGAATGTGGGTGTTCACTGAAATTAAATGTTTCATTGTAGTATTATTTCAACTTTTCCACAGGTTGAAAATTTTCAAAATAAATAGTTGGGGGAAATACACATTTTCAGCTTTACATAGAATAACTAATAAATATTCAGTACCCATCAAACACCCATGAATTTGATACCCCTGAGACTGAAAATTCTGTGGTACCTCATTTCTTAAAACCATACTGTGAAATCTATACTAAAGATTCTTTCCAGTAGGCCTTAAGTGAGCACTTTAAAATATTCCCAAGGTTTCCCATGCAGGGTATAGTTAAAGAGCATTCCACTTGAGATCCTTGCCTGAAAGGCCCTATAGAATTGCAAAGTATCATTATTAAGCAAATGTTCCTGGGCCCTTGGGTGGTTCACTTAAAACACATTTCACTGTATTGAATATTCAGTGCCAGAAGCACACTGTTCAGTGTTAAGATTTGCAATTTAAACCCAATTGGGAAAAGTAAAAGGTTCTTGTAATTTGCCTATACAGTATTGCATTGATGCAGTAGCTTTCATTGATAATTAAGTTCCAAAAATATGAGTTAGATTGTGTGAACAATGGAGGAAAGCTAACCTTTCTATTATAGCCTTCGCTCTTGACTTCTTGTATTTAAGATTACAGATGCTCCATTAAATCGATTTTGTGTTTAATCTCCTCTTGAAAAACAGTGAATGCAAGTCCCCAACTTTCTTCCCTTTGAGAGAACCCAAGTATTTGACAATGAAAACTACAAGGTTCAAACCAGATGATTAACACCGCCCACTGGGAATAAGAAAAGTTTAGTAGGTCTCTTTTTGGGTAGTTTTCCTCAACTAACTCTCAACTTTCCTCAACTAACTGGATTGAAATGTGAAAATATATTTCACACTAGATTTTTTTATTTTATTTTATTTTTTTGAGGAACCAGATTTGAGAGGACGGGGGAGATGTTTAAAGTGTTAAAATTAATTAAGTTCCCTTTAATACATAGATATGCTTTTTAAGAGAGAGAGAGAGAGAGAGAGAGAGAGAGAGAGAGAGAGAGAGATTTTTCAACAGTAATGTGACTTTTAAAAATAGTTTCATTCAAATATCTTCCCTGAAACCTAGGTGTTTGTTTGTTTTGCACTGCTTTAAAATGATTTACAACCCTCAGTAAAATATAAAACATGCAAAAATATTCAGAGAATTGAATTGAACAAAAAAGTACCTAAAACCCTATAAGACAGGAAACTATCATTCTATCCTTGATTCCCTTTTGAATTTGGGCGGGAGCAGTGAGACCCACCTGCCCAGGTCGGCTCTGAATGAGAGGCGAGGGCTTTCTCTGGTCCACGTCTATCCAGCCTCGCTTTCTCAAGCGCCACCGGCCCGGGAATTACACTCCAGCCTGGGGTCAGTCTCAGACTGTGGGCTTCCGGCCAGAAAATCCAGTCGGTACTCAATAGAGAGGTGACCTTCCAAAGAGGTAAAACCACCTTGGCAGTGAGTGCGCCTGAGATCCCGGGGCGACCCTCTCCCCACACGGTCAGGGAGCGGAGAGAAGGGCGGGGGAGCCACGACTCCGAAGTGCGGGATCCGCACCGGCAGCCTCGGCCTCGCGTGGGAACGAGTTAGAGACGCAAAGGACCGGCTCCCACCCCGGACCGACTTGAGCAGAAACTCGGGGGCCAGGCCCAGCCACCTGCATGTTAAGGAGCCTTTGGGTGGTTCTGACGGATTATCGCCGACAGAGAAACGAGCGTATACATTTCCTCGGGATGCTTCAGCCGTGCAGGCCGGCAACATCTGGAGGGGAGACCGGCAGGGCGGGAGATTCAACTACGGGCCCGGTGGGGTGGTCCCCGGCCGCCTGACCTGCCCGCGACCCCCTCCGGTCCACACGCCCCGGCGCTCGCGGCCGCCCGACTCCTTCCGCCCCGCGCCGCGCAGGCCGCCCAGTGGGAGTTGGGGTCAGCGGCCCGGGCGCGCGGGCCCCTACGGCGGCCGCAGCCCCTTCCCGCGCGGCCGGGCCCCCGTCCGCCCCGAGGCCGCACCTTTCCCGCCCCGCCGGCTTGT